CCATCTACAGTGCTCTTGATCTGAGAGACGGGTTCTATCAGATCCTGATGCGTGAGAGCGATATCCCTCTCACGGCGGTAAGCACCCCAAGCGGTATGCTTTGGGAGTGGCTAGTTATGCCGCAAGGACTGAAGAACGCCCCTGCGACCTTCAATAGATGCGCGACTTCGCACCGAGCTACTTCGACGATGTGTACGTTCACAGCCGGGCTGTGAACGAGAAGACGGACGTCGAGATGCACAAGGAGCATCTCCGAGAACAGCTTGGGTTCATGCGCAAGCACAAGCTCTATGCGAACCTGGTGCGAGCGAGATACCCGTGCTGGGTGTCTTGATGGAAAGAATGGCGTACGCCCTGACCCCGAGAAGGTCAGAGTGATCAATGAATGGCCTACGCCATCGTGAAGGAACTGCGGCAGTTCCTTGGCCTTGCCACGTACTTGTGCAAGTACGTGGACAACTACGCAGGCAAGATTCGCCCGCTGTCGCAACTTCTGAAGAAGGAAGCTGCGTGGGAACGGACTGCTGAGTGTCAGCAGGCGTTCGATGCGGTCAGGCTGGGCTTGACTGGATCGCCGATCTTGGCTGTGGCTGACCAAGATCGTCCCTTTCACGTAGTGCGCGACGCATCCGATTTTGCAATCGGATGTGCACGATGGCCGTGATCGAGTCGTCTACTACCAGTCGCGTCAGCTGAGCGAAACTACCCGGTACATGACAAGGAACTCCTTGCCATGAAGTATGCACTCGCGAAGTTCCGAGTGTATTTACTCGGCAACACACCGTTCGTGGTCTATACGTCGTTGCGGACGGCTGTGAAGTCTCCGCACATCTCGCAACGAATGGCGAGATGGTTGTCCTTCTTCGCGGAGTACAACTTCCGGGTCGAGTACAAACCCGGAAGGTTGAATGTCGTCGCGGACGCATTGTCGCGACGACCGGATTACGCTGTCAAGACAGCCGACGTCAACCGAATTGTCGTCGCTCGGACATTTACGCCGTCGTCGTCCTTGTTAGACGAGGTGAAGGCCGCGTATGCGCATGAC